CTGGCCCAGTTCTTTTTCTTTTAGCTTGCTTTTCAGATAGGGTCTCAAGCAAATTTTGCTCTGGAGGCTAGTCTCACTCTTCTGTAGTTGGTGGGATTGATACAATGTGCCATCACACCCAGCTTCTTTTTCACATAGGGCCTAACATTTTTTCTAGCTGGTTTCAAACTATAATCCTCTTATCTCTTCCTCCTGTGAATCTGGTATTCCAGGCACACTCTACCATGTAAAGAGTTCTTAATAGGTCAAAAGAAAATAAAGAAGAAAGACAAATAGTCATGTAGTATTTTTGCAGCTTAGACTTTTAAAGCTTGAACAACAATGAAATACAAATTGTTTCATAAATTAGTAATTTGAAAAAAGTGTACTACCTAGAAATTGGAAATAACATCAGTATCTAACATTGTAGTATTGAAATAAATTGATATAATCATGCATCTACATATTGTCTGTTATACAGTAGGAAATATTAATGATGACTTTATTAGTGTATTAATTGTATAGAATAATGGGCTTATTTATAACATTCTCATAGGACATGACTATTTCAGTAGGAAAGTGTGATCCCAGGTTTTTGGTTGATAATTTATGGAAACCACACAAACATACGGATGCATAAAAAATGTTTAGAAATTATTAGAATTATTAGGTGAACTTTCTTTGCTTTGTGATTTAAAAAAAACTCAAATATCTATAGTAGAGGTGAACAAACTGACACCGAAGAGCCTGCTTATTTTTGTAAATGAAACTTTATTGGTGCAGTAATGCTTATTCATTTATGCATTATCTTTAGCTACTCTTTCAGTACAGTACCATGAAATATTTTCTGTGTAGTCCTTTAAGAATATGTTTGCCAATCCCCTACTTAGAGTGAGTGTATAGTTATATATTTAGAAACAAACTCTCACACAAACACGTGTTCTTTTTTTTGTTTGGTCTTTTTTTTTAATTGTGAAAATACTGTACAGAGGGGTTACAATTACATGGGCAAGATAATGAGTACATTTCTTATCAAGCATTTTAGCCTCCTCCTTTGTTTCCCCTTCCCATCCTCCCCCCCCCCCCCCCCGCCTCCCCACACAATCCTCCCCGCTCCCCCACCCCCCACCAAAGTTGTAAAGTTCGTTTTCGACATAACAACTTGTACATCTCATTGTTGCAATGGGTCCACCTGTATCCCTATTTAAACGATTTGTTTTTTCCCTTCCCCTCTACAAATTACGCCAACATCAAATACAGTGAAAGCAGGGGTTATACTGTGGGGGAGGGACATACAAAGTAACAAAGATATAATCTTATAAATACATTAGAAACAATCGCATGAAAGAAAAAAACATTTGAATACATATCTTAGGGTTCATTTCCCTAACATCAACTTATCTGACCTTTTCTGCTTGACTCAGACATATACTAGTTATTGGAAATAAGGGAAACTATAGGACCTATGTTTCTTTGGGCCTGGCTTACTTCACTTAATATAATTTTTTCCAACTCTTTCCATTTCCTAACAAATGGGGCAATGTCATTCTTTCTGATGGAGGCATAGAATTCCATTGTGTATATATACCACATTTTCTTGATCCATTCATCTACTGAGGGGCATCTGGGTTGGTTCCATATCTTAGCTATGGTAAATAATGTTGCAGTAAACATAGTCGTGCTGATAGCTTTAGTGTGGTCTTGTTTGTGAACATTTGGGTAAATGCCCAAAAGTGGTATTGCTGGATCATAGGGGAGCTCTATGTGGAGTCTTTTGAGGAACCTCCATACTGCTTTCCAAAGTGGTTGAACAAGTTTACACTCCCACCAACAATGCAGTAAGGTTCCCTATATATCACCCTGTACCAGAATCAACTCCAAATGGATCAAAGACCTTGGAGTCAAAGCAGACACTCTGAAATCATTACAGGATGGAATAGGAGAAACCCTAGGTCTCCTTGGCACAGGCCAAAATTTTCTTAACAGAGACCCAGAAACACAACAAATCAAAGAAAGATTGGACAAACGGGATTGCATGAAATTTCAGAGCTTCTGCATGGCAAAGGACATAGCTAACAAGATCAATAGAAAGCCCACGGATTGGGAGAAGATCTTCACTAGCCATACAACAGAAAAGGGTCTCATATCTAAAATATACCTGGAACTCAAAAAATTAAATCCCCCAACAACACACCTTCAAAGAAACAACTGCCCAATAAATAAGTGGGCTAAAGACTTACAGAGAAACTTCTCTGAAGAGGAAAGAAGGATGGCCAATAGACACATGAAGAAATGCTCAACTTCCCTAACCATAAAAGAAAAGCAAATCAAAACAACACTGAGATACCACCTCACCCCAGTTATAATGGCTATAATCAAGAACTCTAATAACAACAGATGCTGGAGGGGATGTGTACAGAAGGGAACCTCACATGTGTTCTTACAGTGCTAGAATATTTTTCCCCAATAAGCTTCTTGATAGTTTTATTTAACTCTTGGAAATAGTTTATTCTTTAATAAGATAAATGCATCATAACTTAAGTGCTAGTGATACCAAATTGAATTAATGGTTTATTTTAAATAATTTAATAGATCAGTACTTTGTTCATTCTCAATCACTAGCTGTTCTAAAGAGATGATAATTTAATAGATGTAGAAAGTCAGAAAAGATATCTTGTTAATATTATCAAAGGGCTAAAAAAGTTAGTGTGTTTATTGAAGAGTCTTAAAATATTTATAGAAGATGTTTGACCTAGGCCCCAGTGGTTCACGACCCTGGTTAGGAAAGTAAAGTTCCTTAAACTCATCTCTGATTAACCACCAAAAAGCTAGCAATGGAGGTATAGCTCAGGGGATAGAGTATGAGCTTAGAGGGAAAAGATGAAGGGACAGGACCTAAGCTCTGAGTCCAAGTACCTTCACAGGGAAAAAAAAATAGGATGATTAAGTGACAGGTACATAGCAACAATGAGCAAGAAAGCTAGGCTCTTGTGAGATAGGCATTAATACCTGCTGTGTACCAGGATCATAGAGAGTGTTACTTAATCCTCCAGATAGTCTTGTTTCTTTTTGTTGTTGTTGTGGAGCTTGAACTGGGCCTAGGGGCTGTCCCTCAACTCTTCAGCTCAAAGCTAGGGCTCTATCACTTGAGCCACAGTGCCACTTTGGGTTTTCTAGTGGTTACATTGGAAATGAGAGTCTTACGACTTTCCTGCTCGGCTGGCTTTAAACTGGCTTTAAACCATGATCCTCAGAGCTCAGCCTCCTAAGTAGCTAGGATTATAGGTGTGAGCCACCAGCATCCTGCTTCCAGATAGTCTTGACTGACAAACAAAAACACTTAGATTTGGAGAGTTTTGAAGAATTTATCTAAATCACAAAGGGTTTGATCCTCCATCTGAAGTTAGATTTTCTGAGAGGAATATTTAAGATGATCTATTCTTAATGAGTTGCCATTTAGGTCCCAAGAACTTGAAACAATATATGGAGTTTAAGTTTTGAGTTAATAAAGGAATACTTTTTTTATTTTTTGGCAACAGGGGCTTGCTATGGTAGTGTAGGCTGTCCTCAAGCTGATGATCCTCCTGCCTTGGTACCCTAGCTCCTATGCTGAGGTTACAGGTGTATACAACGACACCAGAGAAGTAATAGTATTCTGTATTCCCATCAGATACTGGGTAGCTATATTGTAAAGTTGTTTTAGGCACATTCTTGCTGTGCCTAATTCTAGATTGATCTCTACCAACTTCGACAGTATACCAGTTCTCAGATGTTATAATGTTTTCTGAAATTGTGCATTTCATTGAAATTTAGATGTGTAAAGGACTATAAATCATTCCTTCTAGTGCTACAGGAAATCTTGAAAATTATTGCTTGGCCTTTTAGCACGTGATTCTATAAATATTACTGTAATCTTAGCACTCTGAGTTGTGAATAATTTAAGGTTAGCTTGGACTGTGGAACAAGACCCTGGCTCAAAAACAAAAGATTTATGTAGTTTATTTTTTCTTGAATGTAGTCCAGAAGAAAGGTTTATCTATTCAAGTGAATGTATGTTTTCTTAACAAAAATAAAAATTGCGTAAACCAGCATCTTTTTGTTCATGTTTGGGCTCCTTACTTGAAAATAAGGCATCAAATTTAATGGATGACCATAGTTGTAATTATCTTAGCTGAGGTTTTGATAACAGATATTTTGTTATTCTAGAGTTTATGTTGAATATTATTTCAAAACTGAGAATTAAGTAAATTAAGTTTTCAGGGGAAAATTAACTTGCATATAAAGTACTTGAATATTAATTATAATATCAAAAAATTTGAAAGCAGTATTTTAGCAAAGGTAGATAAAGTAATATCTTAGATGTGTTTATTAAAGTTGGATCTTTGTTTATTCTGGTCCATTAGAAACCGGAAAGGGAGAATATCTTCGTTGCCCCAGGGATTAATGTTTAGAGAAAGCCATCTTGCCCTTAGGCTGACTGATGCCTTTGAAAGCCTGGATATAGTTTATCTCCATTTAGAGCATTGCCAATTCCTCCTTCCAGTTTTATTACACTGATGGTCTTAGAATTACCAGATCATCACATGCTCAAGTTCATACAAATATATCCAAATATCTATAATAATAGAGGAAACAAAGATGAACCATTAATTATCTTCTCCCAGTGTTCCCTTGTAGTTGTCTTCCCAGGTAGTTACCTGAGACCAGGCTCTATATTTACAGTATATATTCTAACCCAGCAATCTCAATGTATGGCAGGTTTCTTCTGTAAAGGGTGTGCTTGAGAGAGTTTTACTCCAAGATAAAAATCATGACAAATATCCAATTAATAGACTATTTGTATGTTTCAGGGTCGATTTAGAGTCCACTAAATTATATTATGGTTCTTGTGGCAAAAATCTGTTGCTCATTAAAAAAAGAGAAGTTCTAAATCCTATGTAAAGTTGATTTGCTTTTTGTAATTTATAAGTATATCTGTGAATGCTTACAATTTCCTAAAATTTATTATTTTATTTTTATAGTCTGTTCGGCACTTGAAGTACTCCTTATTTAAGAAATCATTACTGGGCAGTGTTTCAGATAATGGAATAGTAACTCTCTGGGATGTGAATAGTCAGAGTTCACACCATAATTTCGATAGCACACATAAAGCTCCAGCTTCCGGCATCTGTTTCTCTCCTGTCAATGAATTGCTGTTTGTAACCATAGGCTTGGATAAAAGGATCATCCTCTATGACACCTCAAGTAAGAAGTAAGTGTGACATGCTTGTTCCTTAATTTGGTAGTTTCCCCATTAACAGAATATTTGTGACTCTTATAGATTGAGATTAATGCTTAGGAGCTAGGAGCTGTATACTTCTTGTATCTAGTAAAAAGAGAAGTTTCTTTCTTATTGTCCTGCAGAAAAATGTGGTTGGGGCATGAGTATTACTTAGAAACTTTTGAAACATGATAGTTTGGGAATAGCATCCTGATTTTATTATACATACACACACACACACACACACATACACACAAGAGTACATGTGCATGCACACGCCTGTGTGTACCTGTACTAGGGCTTGAGCTCAGGGCCCTGTGCTCTCATTTGGTGTTTTTTACTCCAGGTTGGCACTCTACTACTTGTGCTATACCTCCACTTTCAGCTTTATTGGTGGTTAATTGGAGATAAGAGTCTCATGGATGATTCTGCTGAGGCTGGTTTCAAATCACAATCCTCAGTAACTGGCATTGCCAGTGTGAGTCACCAATGTCAGTCTCACATGCTTTGTTTTTCTTATGCTTCATATTCTTAGTGTTCATTTTCTTTTTAACAGCACATCTGTATATTTAAAGTATTTTTTAAATTTGGTGTAAAATTATTTCTACAACAAAATTTCTAGACTTAGTATATTTGGGCTGGGAAACCATTGGGACCTACCCTGGGCATTGTAGCCTATTTAGCAGCATCCCTGGCCATTGTCCACTAAATCCCAATGGCATTCCACACATTGTGATAGTCTATACTGTTTTCAGACATGCCAAATATCCCCAGGGAGAAAAATTGTTCCAAGTAGGGTGCTTAGTCTTGTAACCATTTATCTCCTTCTTCAGCAAGACAGAGTTGTCTTGAAGGTGCCTAACAGTATCTAAAGCTCACAGGGATGGATTCCAGATTCATAACCTTTGTTATGGTGGTAGAGTTTTTGTTACTTATTTTACTCTTTTCTTTTGAAATAATTTACTGGGTGCCCCAATAGTCAGTAAGCCATTGTTCTCTTATGCCAGATATACCAGCAAAGAGCTCAGCTTCAGCAAATCAGGATCCCCGTGAATTAGCTTCTTGAGTATCAAGCCATGTGGACTCTGTTCCCTGTAGCTTTTTGGTAAAGAGATGGCACAGCTACGAGCAGAGTAACAGCTGCTCCCCTGTGAAAGGTTATAGTGCTCTTGAGACCCAAGTGAGTCACTAAGTGGAAAGTAGATGCACAGAACCTCCTCCATCCTGATGTTCGAGCCTGTTTGTGGAGTAACACCAGAAACTGTAATGCATACACTGCCAAATTAGTAATTACTCAAAGAAGGAGGTGTTCTTATTGGTAATGAAGTAGAAAACAAAGATAAGATTGTGTTCAGAAGTTCTTTACCTATCATTGTATTAAAAATAACTGGCAAATTCTGAATTCTGCTTTAATATTTGGGATATTTATGCTGTTTACCCAGTTGTCAGAAACTTGTGTAAACATGTCTTTAAAACTATATGACTACATACACTAACATTCCTGTAATATATTTTATTTCTGTCTCCAAAGGCTAGTGAAAACTTTGGTGGCTGAGGCTCCTCTTACTGCAGTAGATTTCATGCCTGATGGAGCCACTTTGGCTATTGGATCTTCCCGTGGGAAAATATATCAGTATGATTTAAGGATGCTAAAATCCCCAGTGAAAACCATCAATGCTCACAAAACATCTGTGCAGTGTATAGCGTTTCAGTACTCCACTACTCTTACTAAGGTGAGATAGATTCTTTTCAGCATTATTGATTTTTGCTTAAAATCTAGCTTAGAATGTGAATATTACACATTGTCAGTTTAAAAATTGTATTCATAATAATTTTTCTTTTTTTCTTTCTTTCTTTATTTTTATTGTGGACATACTTTATAGAGGGGTTACAATTACATGGGCAAGATAATGAGTACATTTCTTATCAAGCATTGCAGCCTCCTCCTTTGTTTACCCTTCACATCCCTTCCCAGCTTCCCCCTCACTCCCTCACCCAATCCTCCCCCCCCCCCCACCAAAGTTGTAAAGTTCGTTTTCGACATGACGACTTGTACTTCTCATTGTTGCAATGGGTCCACCTGTGTCCTTATTTAAACGACTTGTTTTTCCCCTTCCCCTCCACAAATTATACCGACATCAAATACAGTGAAAGCAGGGGTTATACTGTGGGGGAGGGACATACAAAGCAACAAAGAAATAATCATGATAGCATTTTAACTAATCTTAGTAAAAAGTCATCTAATAAATAGTTTTAAAACTTTCTTGGTCATTAATTTTCATATATAAGATTCTTTATAAGTATTTTATAAGACATTTCTTGTTCAAAGTAAAACTCAGATCCACCAGTAAGCATACCATTTATAAGGGGGAAAAAAGCTAACAGTCTTGTCTATAAAATATTAATGTGTGTATGAAACATTAGTAACCTGAGCTTTAAATATTCCATTACATTTCAGTCCAGTTCAAATAAAGGCTGTTCAAATAAGGCCACAGCAGTGAACAAGCGAACCATCAATGTGAGCACTGGCGGAGGGGTTCAGAACTCTGGAATTGTCAGAGAAGCAGCCACTGTGTCTGTTGCCACAGTTCCGCCACAGCCTGTGGCACCAGTTGTGGGGAAAGGAGCAAGTGCCATTCAGAGCAAAGCAGGTAACATTGCTGATAGACATGGGATTTGGAGGTTCTGTCTTCTGAATAAGTAACACTTTTTTCAAGAAACTAGAACTCTGATTCATTTAGTATTTATTAGATATTGTTGAACACAAGTGGCTTTTATCTTTGGCTATACATTTTTGAAAAGTTCAGCTACAATTATGTTGTGAGAAATAGTGATTATTTTAAAAATGGAATGATACTGGTTTAGAAATAATTTCTGTCTAATATACTGCAGACTGTGATTTTTCCATTGTGTGTAGAGAATGGAAAACTTTGGTGCTGTCAATTATGATTTGATATCATAAGTGGAAAGTAATAAGTTACTAATGGTGTCTTTTCATACTAAAAAGAAAGTCAGATGATAAAGTAAATGTTTTTATGTACTGGATAGTGTCTGGTATATATTAGGCAGCATATTAGTAGTTTACTAAACTAAAATGATTTATTCTGGTAATCATTGATGAAACAGTTCAGAAACAGAAATTCATTTTGTTTAGTGAAGGTGTTATTAATGATGGGCCCATAGCAAAGATCTGTAAATTGCTGAAAACATTTTTTTTTAACTTAAGAGCTTATATTGTTCTTTAACTTGTAACAGATATTCTTTAAAGCCTACATGGCATACCAATGTGCTTCTAAACCTTGTACTCTATGGAAATATATGTCTACATTTCTTTTTTCGTTTTTAGGACAAATTTGTACAAAAATATTTGTTGGTTTTTTTCCTCAGTATAAATTTACTATTTCAAAGTAGCAAAAAAATCTTTAAATAATACAATAAACTTTTAATAATAGAGTAAACTGTAAATAATACATCTAGTCACTATCAATTTCCTAGAATATTTTTATTATTCTTACAGAAAGCCAGCTCATAGCCATTCTTTGAGAATTATTGGAGAAAACAGCATTATTGTTTACTTTTAAAAGTTGATTTTGAAATATAACTGGCTAATATCAGCCAGTTGTGAATTAAGTATACTATGAAAATTTCCAAAAGTACTTTTATAATTTTTATTTGTTATTTAAATAATGAATTTATAATGTTAATTACTATGTAAACAGTATTATTTATTTCTGTAGACTCTAAACATTATTGTTATTTATTCAGTTTTAATAAGGTGTCTTGTTAAAGATGACAGCATTAATTAGGGAATGAAAGACTCGGGTTTGCTGGGTCACTGATTAATAACCTGTCAGATTTCCAAAATTTCTGGCAAAATGATGCTTGATTTGCTCCACAAATCATTATTTTAGAATAATTGTCAGTTTACAGAAAAGTTTTAAGAATAGCCCTATAGACTCCCGAGCTTTTATCCTTCAGTAAATGTACTAATGTACTACTGTGTAAGTTTTGTTACATTTACTTGCTTTTGGCTTTTCTTAAAGGCATACACACAGGGTTTTCTCTTAGAAGAGTTGAGATAAGTTATACTCAAATCTCAGGTCAGTTGTGGGTAGTTTTCTTACCTTACCCAAGTGTTGTTTTTGTATACTGGAGATAATATTTAACTTGTAGCATTTTTGTGAAAGTCAGAGAAAGTATTTCACAAGTTTCTGGCACATGTAGGCTTGTGGTGATAAAATTATGGCATAAAATTATCTGTATCATCACAATCATTACCATAATTATTGTTATTATTTAAGTGTTTTAATCTAATTTGTTTCACTGAAAGTGTCCTGATTTAGTTATACAAAGAACCTGTGTGGACTTGTTGCTGGTGTTCATTTTCAGTACTGATATTTTAAGAGGCTTTAGCAGTATTTTACTGATATTTTAAGAGGCTTTCAGTGAGACCACACTTCCATTTTGTAACATTCTAAAGATACAGTTATATACTCAGATTCTCTCTTTTTTCTTTATAACATCTTCACTCTTGGTGTAAAAAGCTTTGCAGTGATTGTGGTTCTAGAGATTTGATTATGTTTTAACTTTCTAGCAGCGTTTTATTTAATAAAAAGTTGATTTCATTAGCCAGGCCTGGACATTTTTCAAATTATAATAATCTATTCTTTTTTGTCATCTCAGATCCTTCAGTTTTCATTTGAGACTGAGATGTCAGATATAACACTTTTTGAAATACAGTATAGAAATATGCTACTGATGCATTAGCTAGACTTCCATCTAAGTGCCAGACACAAGAAGCTACTGAGCCTTCAGTTTCTCATACAAAGTCTATGCCCTAAAGCCATGCCCTATATACTACTAGAGCAAGTAAACTACATCACCTTCTTTAGTGTTGTCTATTGTAGTACTATTTATGAGTTTGATGTCTTTGGTTTCTTATTCCTAGTAATCTATAGTGAAGTCATTGGGGCTGAAAATGCTGAAGCCAATATTAAGCTCTCACAGTTAGGGGGAATAAACAAAAAAACAGAAAAGGGACTAAAGACCCATTCTTTGCATGTTGAAGAACTAATGTTAGAATTCCATTGTGTATACATACCACATTTTCTTGATCCATTCATCTACTGAGGGGCATCTGGGTTGGTTCCTTATTTGCAATAACTAGTATATGTCTGAGTCAAGCAGAAAAGGTCAGTTAGGTTGATGTTAGGGAAATGAACCCCAAGATTTATATTCAAATGTTTTTTTCTTTCATGCGAATGTTTCTAACACATTATAAGATTATTTCCTTGTTGCTTTGTATGTCCCTCCCCCATGGTATAACCCCTGCTTTCACCTGTATTTGATGTCGGTATAATTTGTGGAGGGAAAGGGAAAAAACAAACAGTTTAAATAGGGATACAGGTGGACCCATTGCAACAATGAGAGGTAAAAGTTGTTACGTCAAAAACAAACTTTACAGCTTTGGTGGGGGGGGAAGGAGGATTGGGGGCTCTGGGAGCGGGGGAGGATGGGAAGGGATGGGAAGGGGAAACAAAGGAGGAGGCTACAATGCTTGATAAGAAATGTACTCATTATCTTGCCCATGTAATTGTAACCCCTCTGTACAGTATTTTCACAATAAAAAAAAGAACTAATGTTAATTGAATCCTGTTGTGATGTTAAGTATCACATTCTTCCTAGCACACTTGAAAAAAATCATTGATAGATGATCATAAGAACTAGTTATAAAAGTAAATTATATTCAGTGTATTTTAAGAGGGAAGCAAAGCAAATACATTATTTTAGAAATTTCCTATCAGTGGCTAAAAAAGGTATTGTTGTATGAATTAATATACTGTTTGCTTTTGAGAAACCTTCATTCCTGAGAGTGGTGGTTAACTTAACAGCTGGCTTATTCTGCTTCCTGTCCTGAGGCTTGTAGTAGGGTAATTCATTAATATGACATTGCATTAATTTTTACAACTTCATTTCTGATGATCAAATGTATTTAAATATAGTAATGATGATTTTTTTGTCTAATTCTTATAAGGTTTGTCACGAAGCATAAACACTGAAATTTTACCTAAGGAAACAGATGGTGGAAAAAGTCAGGACTTCTCTAGCTTTGAAGATACTAGCAAGAGTAGTTTAGGTGACATGTTCTCACCTATCAGAGATGGTAAGTATATTCAGATCAATGGTGTGTTCACTTAGAACCTAAAAGGTATGAGTAATGGCTTTAGACTAGCTCTGGACATGGCAGTTTATTAATTTTCTCATCTCTTAGGTAATGCCTTTTCCTTTACCCTGATATTTCAAACAATTCCAAAATATGCTGTTAATTTTCACTGGTAATTTTATATATATATATATATATATATATATATATATATATATATATATATATATGTAATTTCCAATTGCAAATAGCTTTAAAAATACAGTATTTTAATTTCTATAAAAAATTCATTTTTTTAAGTAGTACAGTTCAAACTCATGGCCTCTTGCAGCCTAGACTAGTATGCCACTGAGTTATGCTACCTGCTCCCTGTTATAAAAGTTTCTTAAGAGAAATATTACCTTCCTAGGCAATATAGGGATGTACTTCAAAATACATCTTCCTAAAATCTTGAAATTTTTGATATGCAAAAAGTGTCTTGCCAGTTAAAAAATTAAGATTATTAATGTTTAATTGCCATATATCAAATAGATAGGTGATAGATTGCTCCATCTTTTAGGCTATGTATGAAAGTATTAGATATCTGTGCTGTGGTATGTATGTATCTGTAACACACACACAGACACATACACATGTACAACATATCTGAAACACACATCCTGTGATGTTGCCATTAAGAAAAACCTTTACCAACTTGAACTGTGGATACACTATATGTGGTAGTTTACAGTATATGAACTAGTACATTGTTTAACTGTGCTTTTTTGGGGGGGGTCCTAATGTTTATACCATTTTCTTAATTGTCAATGATATGAATAAATATCTAGAGGCTAATATAGCAAAGTTAAATTATTCATACTTTTTGGCCTGATAATTTCATTTCTACAAATTTACCTCAGAAAATATTCAGAGAAGCTCATAGAGATTTGTGTGTTTGCTGTTTTATTTATAGTTGAGAAAAGGTAGACAGACTCTAAATGTCAAACAGCAGGTTTTTAAATTGCATCTACTCGTGATCTTACAAGATTTCATTTTTCACTTTAAAATAGTCTTTCCACCTTGGGTTTTTTTTGTTGTTGGTGGTGGTGTTTTTTTGTTTTTTGTTTTTTTTTTGCCAGTCCTGGGGTTTGAACTCAGTGGAGTTGCCTCAGCTCCATTTCTGTTCTCTCCCAAATTCCTTACATTTCATAATAGAGGAATAAATTAATAAGTGATAGTTCAGACTTATTGAATGTCTTTTAGCTTATCTTAGCCTGAAAATAACTACTTAAAATTTTGAGCAAGTTCTTCCATCTAATAAAAGAGGAAAGATTCCTTTCTCTTTTTTCCAGGGTAAAGAGAAGTTGAAGTGAATAGTTAAAAAGAGAGGAAGGGCGGTGGGGTAGAGAGTGGAAAGGCTGGGTTAGCACTGAGTTGAGGGGCTGGTTTGTGAGATCAACCACCAAGCAACTTCTGCATTTAGGGAATGTATAAAGGGATTTTTGGCAAGTGCTTGAGTCTATAAACTAGATCTAAATCCTTTTGGTGTTTTTGTTTGTTTGTTTGTTTTGCTGTTTCTGAGACTTACACTCAGGACCTGGAAACTGTTCCTGAACTTCTTTGCTCAAAGTTAATTATAGCTCTCTACCACTTGAGCCCAGCTCTACTTCTTGCTTCTTTGATGGTTAATTGGAGATAAGAGTTTCATGGACTTGCCTGTCCAGTCTGGCTTTGAACAGTGATCCTGAGATCTCAGCCTCCTGAGTAGTTAGGATTACAAGCATGAGCCACTGGCGCCTGGCCTAATGTTGCTTTCTTTTTTAAACATTTTACATAGGTTTCATCATGACATTTTCATATACATATACTTTGATCATAATATATTTATTACTTTTTAAGAGAAATTAATACCTATTGCTGTGTTTTCAAGTGTGATTAGTTAGAATTTAAAAGCATATGTCCTCCATGAGGTTTTTTCCTGTTAACACTAAGGAAAAACATAGACAGTAAATATAATGCTAATTTTTGTTGTCAAGAAATTTGTCTTTCAATGTCAAGGATGAGGCTCTTTCGGTAAAAGGTAATGTTTTTGTGCCTCACTTTGTTCTTTTAAATAAAAATATTAAGAAAGTAATGACTTCAAAAATCTGTGTCATTTCACAAATGAAGATAGATATTACTACTAGTAAGATAATCATGCTTGGGCTGGGAAGGTGGCTCAGTGGTAGAGCGCTTGCCTTGCATGCTCGAGGCCCTGGGTTCGATTCCTCAGCACCACATAAGCAAAAAGAAAAAAGCCAGAAGTGGCGCTGTGGCTCAAGTGGTAGAGCGCTAGCCTTGAGCTGAAGAGCTGAGGGACAGCGCCCAGGCCCAGAGTTCAGGCCCCACGACAGGACCCAAAAAAAAAAAAGATAATCATGCTTATTGGCCATTTGAATATCTGTTGAATTTACTGCTGTACATGAAACAATGAAAAAGATGTTTCGATGAGTACTAGCTGTAACCTTTGATCTCACTTATATTTTCTTTTTTAAGGTCTTGAGTCTTGAGATCTTAAAGTTTAGCCTAAGTTGCTGCAGTTTATTTTTCACTATTTTAAACGTGGTCTTATTTTATTGTAGATGCTGTAGTTAACAAGGGAAGTGATGAATCTGTAGGCAAAGGAGAAGGTAAGAACTCTTAAGTATTTTTCTGAAATTTTAATACTATATTACCTGTTATTGTGTAAGAAGTGACACTAAAACCTCGAGGCTTAAAAGGACAATATGTTATCTCACTATTTCTGTGGGTTAAGGATCTGAGCATGACTTGGCTTGATACCTTTGCCTTGAAAGCTGTTCGATGCTTCAATCAAGATATTGGCCAGACCTGCATCTATTTCAAGGCTCAACTGGGCAAGAATTTGTTTCCAAACTCATTGTTCTGATTTTTGGCTGGAAATACCAGTTCCTTGCCAGTGGAGCATCTCCACAGGGAAGCTGACAACAGAGCAGCTCTTCCCTCAGCAGTTAAGTGAGAGAGAGGGAAGGCATCCAAGATGGAAGCCATAGTATGTTTGTAACCTAGTCCTGGAAGAGACATCATACCATTTCTGTCATGTTTTCTGTTAGAAATAAATCTGTAGGTTCAGCCCATATTCAAAGGGAGGGAATACACACAGTATAGATGTCAAGTTCATGGATCACTATAACTTAACTTATAGGCTGCCTACCACAACATATACTTTACTATAGGTACATACAAAATTAATACTCTTCAGTTTTCAAAAACTAAGAGTGACTACACTTACTGTGTTTTGTATAATAAAGGTATTTTTTTTTTTTTTTGGTCAGTCATGGGGCTTGAACTCTGGGCCTGGGGGCTGTCCCTGAGCTCTTTAGCTCAAGACAAGCGCTCTACCACTTGAGCCACAGTTCCACTTGTGGTTTTCTGGTGGTTAATTGTAGATAAGAGTCTCACAGACTTTCCTGCCTGAGCTGGCTTTGAACTGTGACCCTCAGATCTCAACCTCTCCTGAGTAGCTAGGATTTACAGGTGTGAACCACCCACTGGCGCCTGGCACATATAATCTTTTTAAGCCTCACAACTCTGGGAAGTTATATCATTCGCATTTTACAGATCAGAAAATACAGATTTCAACTTTCAAGAGATAAGTTCAAAAATATATATAAAGTCCAGGGTATCTCTAAGAAATAAACCAGTCTTCTGAATTCAAATCCTGTCTTTTTGCCAAATTAATCTTCCCATCAAGATAAGGCCTTACAAGTAAGTATACACAATTGAAAAATACTACATGCAAAATATTACATGCAATTTTTTTCTCCTCTTTTAGGACTTGATTTTCTACCACAATTAAATCCAGTGTTTCCTCCAAGAAAAACTCCGGTCACTTCAGGCACTTTGGCATTACACTCTAGTCCTCTTAATGTTTTTATGGGATCACCAGGGAAAGAAGAAAATGAAAATCATGATTTGACAGCTGATCCTAAGAAGACATATCTGGGAAAACCAGAACCTAAAGACTCCTTCAAACAGGTGTGTCTGAAAATGATATTGAACTTACCCTTAATGGTTATCATTTGAAAGTAATGACTATCAATGGATGCATTCTAATTATTAATGGTACTGGGAGAAAAAATAGACAAAATTTTAATGCACAATCTAAGTAAAACAAAGTATATACTGAAGTAATTGTTAATTTAAATATTAAGTTTGCCAGATTGATCTCCTCTGGTGCTGAACCTGGAAATATAAATACCTCTCTATCAACTAACCAAACAAGAAATCTTGAGAAATTTGAAAAGCCAGAGAAAGACATTGAAACCCAATTAATATATGAACCCCCAGTCAATGGCTCCTCTACTCCAGGTAAGTACATAAAACTTCCTGATAGTTAAGGGAAGTAAGCCAGACCTAGAGAAACAGGCTTCATGGTTTCCCTCATCTGTAGGAGTAGTTAGAATGTGCCTAAAAATCTACAAGTAAACACACTGAGTGGTGGGTAAGGGGTTACAAACTAATTAACTGAAGTGTATTAGACTCTGGAGAGTGCAAATAGTATAATTCTTTAAAAACACAAAGTCAAAGCTAACAAAAGAAGTACCAGGAAATGGGTACTTGAAAGAGGGGGGGAGGTGGGGCCAAAGTGGAAGTGGTAGAAAAATGAAGGGGAAAAATAGGAAGAATGCAGGCAAGACTTCATTGAGAAATATAAGGGAAGGGGTGGGTTGAAATGGTGACACAGATACATTGCTTTTTAAATGGCAAAAAATTCAACAGATAGCCTAAAATTATGATAAGTAAGGGAAGGGGGGGTGGGTTGGGAGGCCTGGGTTAGGATGTTGAAAGGGGTGACAGTAAGCAAGATGCACTGCTTCGGTGAATGGTAACACCTATGTACAACTATGTAAAGATAATAAAAATATTTTTATTTTTTATTTTTTTGGGTCCGGTCGTGGGGCCTGAACTCTGGGCCTGGGCGCTGTCCTTCAGCTCTTCAGCTCAAGGCTAGCGCTCTACCACTTGAGCCACAGCGCCACTTCCGGCTTTTTTCTTTTTGCTTATGTGGTGCTGAGGAATCGAACCCAGGGCCTCATGCATGCAAAGTAAGCACTCTACCACTGAGTCATCTTCCCAGCCCAATAAAAATATTTTTAGAACAATTAAAAAAACGTCCTGATGACTGAGAAAACTGTTAAGTTGAAACAATCTCCAGTTATGGTAACTTCAAGGCTAGAGTGGTTATAAACTGAAAAATATTCAAGTTGAAAGTTTAGGGCTGGGAAGGTGGCTCAGTGTAGAGTGCTTGCCTTACATGCATGAGGCCCTGGGTTCGATTCCTCAGCACCACATAAACAGAAAAAGCTGGAAGTGGCGCTATGGCTCAAGTGGTAGAGCGCTAGCCTTAAGCTAAAAAGCTGAGGGACAGCGCCCAGGCCCAGAGTTCAAGCCCCACAACAACAACAAAAAAATGGCTTGCAGAAAGTTTATAGATACTTCTCTAGATTATATTTTTAGATAGGGAACAATGAATGATTAATTTGATCCTACCTCTTTCTATCCAACAATATGAAATTTAATCTCAATCAACTATATCACGTTTTGTGTAATAAAGTATAGATAGAATTATAATAACCAACCCTTTAAAAAGAATTGGTTAATTACTTGATCTTGTAAATCTTTTTCTTTTTCTTCTTCTTTTTAAAGTCTTTAGCTGGTAGAATTTGTTCCACATTCATGAATCTCAGTTGCATTTAAAGGGATATTAGGTTCATTGGCAAGGAGGTGTCAAAGAAGCTCTTCATATAGAAACAATTCTGTTATGGAAATACCTGTATTTTTCATTATAAGGTTTCTGTTGATGTATTTATTACATTAGCTTAAACTCTAATGCTGTGCCTAAAGCACTGCTTTACTTCTGTATTCTTTCTGTTGGTTTTTAATAGTCTTGTTTATCTGGTTTGTGGTACAGCCTGTCACATTCATCTTTTAGAAGAAAAGTGGTTCAGAGATGCTCAAGATGAATCCCCCTGTCACATGTATTACATTAGGCAGTTGGCAGTTTATATAGATAGATAAATGACTATTAGAAATAATGTCATAGAAAGTTTCTAAAATTTGTATTCCAGACAGAATTTTTCTAAATGTCACGGAAACACTGTTCTTTGCCAGTTTTTCAAGTTTTCTCATAAAGAATCTTATTTTGAAATGTTTGATGTCTCTTAGTTCAAGTTGACTATTAATATTTTCTCTGTCCTTTATTTTAGACCCAAAGATAGCATCTTCTGTCACTGCCGGAGTTGCCAGTTCACTCTCGGAAAAAATAGTGGATACCATTGGAAACAATCGGTCAAATGCTCCGCTGACATCTGTACAAATCCGTTTTATTCAGAACATGATACAAGAAACCTTGGATGACTTTAGGTAATAATGGAAAAATTGATATTTTTCTAGTTTTTTTTTCTTTTTTATTAGTGTAGGTAACATTGGTAATTATGATGTGAAACATAAAACCATAAAAAACCTGATGAGATTTTGTTGACCTTATTTTGGTACATGCCCAGGAAAAGGCATAATTACCTAAAGCAGTTAGCAGATAATCTGACAGAGATGGATAGTATACAGGTTGCCATTGCTGATTTTTTAAATTATTAAAATGTGGACAGATTCTTGTAAATTCAACGTAGCTTTTATATAACAGGCAATATTTGTGAATTACCTGTTGAAGTATTCTGTATGCAATGAGTGATCATCAAATGTTTGAAGTAAAGTGTCTTATTTGGTATTTATTAGTCTTTTGATTAGGATTTAATTGTTTTGTTTTGGAGTAAAATTAAGGTAATGTAACATTGGCACAGAGTATACAAATTGCCAATAGGAAAGAAACCTCTGTGTATATATAAACTTGATGGGTGACAGGGGTTACATTGAAGATCTCTGTACAAAATATGGGATGATCATTGAATTGTGTTGTGATATCTGATTATTTATATTAAAAGGTAAGAATGGATCCCTATTTAATGCTTCTGAAAAAATATTAATTCTTGGGCTAGGATGTAGCTCAGTAGCAAAGTGCTTGTCTAGCAACTCAATGTCCTGGGTTCAATCCCCAGTACTAAAAAAAAAGACAAAAAGAAAATTTTTTTAGAATATAGAATATATAGAATAAAAATGTAACAAACTTTACTGTGATTTATAAATCACAGTAGGAGTATTATTTTTAAAAAAGGGTAATGAGCATCATGAGCATCTATAAAATAGATGCAAATTTTACCTGTAATAGTAGAGTTGTTAAATTTAAGTATATTAATAGAATTCTAATTATGAGACACTACTAGCAAAGTTAGTACATATCACCAGCAAGGGATCAGATTATGTAACCAACTTTTATAATGAATGAGAAAGAGACATGAATAGGCATTTTATAGAAGAATGATGTATGAACATGAGGAGAAATGTACAACACCATAATTAATCAGAGAATGGAAAAAGTAGTGAAACACTATATATCACATCAATTACCAAGGAACATACTTTTTTTTTAAAAAGCATCTTTACAATAAAATAAAATTTTAAAAAAGAAAAAAAAAAGTGTGATAATACCGAGTCTTGGTGGGGTAAAAGAGTAAGAGAAATGCTCTTATTTTGGTGGTAAACATATCCATTCCCACTACTACTTTGGAAATATACCTGGTATGTACACAGGTATGTATACCTGGATATATCATAAATGGACACTGGTGCATGTGGTTTAAAGCAATATACGTAATTAGAACAACTTGGTCAGGATAAAAACTTGAAAGCAACTCCAGTATCAATTGACAGGAGAGTGGACATACCACTATAAACCAATGAAGTATAACATATGTTTTATGAAACTTAAAGCATAGTATTTCTCAGATATAAGCTGCTCAAGGTTGGCATCCTTTCTGTAATTACAAAATAACAAGGGACAATGAGCCACAGATGACATATTATACAAATGTGCTTCTTAAGCTCAAGAGTTCCACTATTGGTTTACTGTATGACTTTGACAAGTTTTAACTGTTCTCTGGCTTAATTTTTTTGTTGTTGGCAAAGTAAAGGTAATAATTGCTCCTAATTGTGGAGATCAAATGAGTTCTTATATTTTAAATTATATGAAAAAATGACTAGCGGTTAGCAAATGAATGCTAGGTTCACTGGTTTTTGTTATTGTAATAATTACTAATACCCAATAATTTGAAACAGTGAAAGGTTTGGCCAGTTTCTTTTTTTTTTAATTAATAAGTTTTTTTTATTATGAAAATACCATACAAAGCGGTTACAATTACATGAGCAAAGTAATGAGGCATTGTTGCCTGCTCTTTTGTTTCCCCTTACCATCCCTGCCCTCCCATCCCCCCATCCCCCCCAAAGTTGTAAAGTTAGTTTTTCAACATAATGTCTTGTACATCTCATTGTTGCAATGGGTCCACCTGTATCCCTATTTAAACAATTTGTTTTTGCCCTTCCCCTCCACAAATTATACCAACATCAAATACAGTGAAAACGGATTATACCTTGGGGGAGGGACATGCAAACCAACAAAGAAATCATCTTATAAATATGTTAGAAACAATAGCAAGAAAGAAAAACCATTTGAGTCCTTATCTTGGGTTCATTTCTTGGCCAGTTTCTTAAATGAGGGTTACATTGTTATAATTGTAACAAGTATTTTATATTCTTTCTTAGAGAAGCATGCCATAGGGATATTATGAATTTGCAAGTGGAGATGATTAAACAGTTTCATATGCAGATGGTACGTACATGACATTGTGTTCTAAATGATTGTACAGTTGTATGCATCTGAAAAAAGAAATCCATTAAAGGGCAATGTATTTTACTTAGTTGCTCTAACTAAGATACATAAGTATGACGTTTCAGAAATTTTAATAATTAAAATAGATTTTAGCTGATTACTTCCTTTTAAGCCTGTGGTAGTTGGGGCTACTTTTCACAGATATGCATGCCTCCCATAAGTAAAGGAAAAGCCTCCTAAAATGTGTGGATATCATCCTCTAGGTATATTAATTTGGCCAGTAATTTTTGTGGCTGAGTACAAGAACTATAACTCAGATAGTTAATTAAGCATGAAAAAAGTGGTATCAGAAACTATGTAAACCATAGTTTGCCAAATAAATGTGAAAATCCAGTCATTTAAAAATAATTTCTCTCCTTTTATAGAATGAAATGCACTCCTTGCTGGAAAGATATTCAGTGAATGAAGGTTTAGTGGCTGAAATTGAAAAATTACGAGAAGAAAACAGAAGGCTGCGGGCCCACTTTTGAAAATTCATGAATACTTTCAAGATTTTGTAATTTGCAAAGTTTCTGGCAACAAAGAACTATGTAGAATCAGTATTTTCATGGCCTACAGGTGGAAACTTTTTTTCATGTAAAGGGTAATGGAATTATACACCAATCACTATTACATCTCTGTTAAAAATATGTATATTTTTATATTGAAATTGTACAATATATAATCTGCCTAACAGAAAAGTCAACAGGATTTTTATTTTCTGAATGCTTTAGTGCTAAACTTAAGTGCCCTTTTCATAAGAAGAAAATTGTGCATGAAAAACTTATGCACAATTACATTTTTAACAGCTATATTTTTGATTGACAAATTGCCTTCTAAATTTTTTTAGGTAGATGAAGATTTAAAAATTTGATATGCTTTCTATTTTTATGGAGAATAATTTAAAAATGGCAATTTTTTAAGCCACTGACTAATAAAATCAAGTTAGCTAGTAGTTATTTTGTTAATAACATCAAGTGTGACTATTATTTATTACTTGTATATGTGATAATTTTTGAAATGTTAAATTGTATATTGTACCTTTTGCACTTATGTTACTGTATTGTACTTCTGATAGCTCTATTACTGGTTTATATTGCTTTAGTTAACTATCTGAAAATCTTTTAAGTGTTTATGTGACCTAACAAGAGCATATTATATATCTGTTGATTGTCTCATATACTAATGATAGGCAAAATCATACTATAAAGTTTTAATCACCCTAAGTCAATTTACAATCAATGAAAATTTCATTTTAGACACTAAAAATTACAGTACTATTATCCTGTTTTTCCCAAGCAAGAAATATGAATTATTTTGCTCTATTGTCTGTATCATTTTTGTCTTCTTCAGGTGCTATGAAAAACATTTTATATTATTGCTTGCCTTGAGATTATTTATAGAGGTTCATCATGAGAAGAGTTTATACCTCTTCATCAATAGTTTGATATATATATATTTACCTATTGTGATCTGTGCTTTTGGTGGTATAAGGTTAGGAGAGCTATGTCCTTGCTGTCCCTTGCCCAGAGATTTACTCTTATGTACTTTTTATATAGTTGTACTGTTCATTTTGGCTTCTGGGATGAAAATATTTACTAAAGATTAAAAACAAAACAAAACAAATCCCCAAACAAACTGAAATCTCTAGCTTTATCTTACTAACTTTAAGATTTTCCAAAGGGATAAGATATTAAACATACTAATAATTTCTTTGAAAAATGAAAATGGGAGTTTTTCCCAGTATGACTCAGAGAATACATTTGTATTAACACATATGAAAGTGTTACTGTGATCTTTCTTGTCAGATTATGAAAGCATTATGACTTGTACCAAGTTTTCTTATATGTCAGTATCACACAGGTTTTGAAGACAGATTAGTATTGTCTACATGATATATTTATATTTTAGTATTTTCCTATTTCCCTTTACTACAGGTGTACATATGTGTGTATTAAAGAGGTCTGAGAAATAGAACAGTGTTAGTAATTTTATTTGTGTAGATGAAACATTTTTTGTCACGGATTTTAAAGTTAAGTACAATAAAATGTTATGTTCAAAAAACAGGAAATCTGCCTGGTGCCAGTAGCTCACACCTGTAATCCTAACAATTTAGGAGGCTGAGATCTAAGGATGGTGGTTTGAAGCCATCCTGGGCAGGAAAATCTGAGAATCTTATCTCCAATTAACCACCAGAAAACTGGAAGTGGCACTGTGGCTCAAAGTGGTAGAGTGCTAGCCCTGAGTGAAAAAGCTCAGGGACAGTGCCCAAGCCCTGAGTTTAAGCCCCATGACTGACAAAAAAAAAAAAACAACAAAACAAAACCAACAAACAGGAAATCTGAAAACTGAACTTTTACCTTTGGCTATAATGCAGGGAAATAAACATAAGAACAAAGAAGAAAACTACACTCTAAGTTAAAAATGTAAACTGTAAACTCTAAAGCAGCCACAAAAATTAAAATACAGTGACGTGTGGCTATAATTGTAGCTACTTGGGAAGCTGAGGAGGGGAAGATTACAGTTTGAGGCCTGCCGGGGCAGATCCTTTTTCAACACAGAGTTTGGTGATAGGCACTTGAAATCCTAGCTTCATGGGAGGCTGAGAATGGACCATATTTCAGGACAGCTTGGTAGAAAATCCCAAAAGACTTGATCTCAGTGGACATGGTGATTACATGCATGTCATCCCAGCTATGGTGGGAAGCTTAAAATACAGGTAGATTGCAGTCCTGTCAAATGCCTGGGTAAGAAGCAAGATCCTATCTCAAATTAATACAAGAAAGGGCTGGAGCAAGCACCAGCCTTGAGCTCAAAGCTCATTGTAGCCAAATAATTTTTACCTAAAGAGAAAGATCAAGGTTTTAATAACTAATAATTTGGCAAGAGTGAAAAAATTTATCCAGGAAACATCCCAAAGTAGACAAAATGTCCATAATTATAGTAAATATAAATATGAAGTGACTTATCACCTTGAATCTTGTTAATCCACGTACATACTGAATAGAATACTAGTTTATAATTTTCATTTAAAATTGGTGTATGGGGGGTTGGGAAGGTGGCTCAGTGGTAGAGTGCTTGCCTCGCATGCATGAGGCCTTGGGTCCAATTCTTCAGCACCACATAAGCAGAAAAAGCCAGATGTGGCACTTTGGCTCAATTGGTAGGGCACTAGCCTTGAGCTGAAGAGCTGAGGGACAGTGCCCAGGCCCAGAGTTCAGGCCCCACGACTGTCTTAAAAAAAAAAAAAAAGTTGGAATATGGATGTGTATGCTCATTTGTAAAAATTGAACTATAAATCTATGACTACTAGTTCACTTTTAATTGTGCTAAAATATATTTAAAAACAATGAAACAAAAAAATAGTTACTACAAATAGGAAATAATATGGTAGTATGTTCAAACCCAAATTTACAGGCAATCAGGATATATATATATACATATATATATATATATGCCAATTTTAAAAAAAATTGGCAGAAGATTTTAAGAACTAAGTTATAATTACAAGATACGCGTTTTTAAATCTTAGGCTATAGAGTGAAAAAAAGGAAAAGATACACAATACAAAAAGTAGCAAAAAGGTGATCCCAATAACAAACTAGATTTTAAAGCAAAAAACATAGCTGGAGATAAGATATTTCACAATGTTATAAAGTTCAACTCGCCAGGAAGACATAAAAGCTTGAAAGTTTCATCCACCTAATAGCCTTGAAATAAGTTTTGTAGATTCAACAAAAGAAAAGGTCAAAGTTCATGATTTTGTAGGCGAATGTAACATACTTCTTTATGAAAAATGTATAGAAGGCACAAAAGTTACAAATATGAATGGACCCTGAATTTTATCAGTTGATTTTCCTCACTTGTTGAGATCTTTCTTTTTCAAATCTATTTAGAGATTTGTATTCATTTTTACACAATCATCCTTACATTCTGAATAAATCTTATTATCTTGGACTTTCATTGCTAGTGTTTAGAATTACTTTTCCTTTTTTTCTTTTTAGAATAACTTTCCAATTTGGTTACCAAGGTTATACTGATTAATAGAAACTCAGTGCAACATGAACATAAAATCAGAAGCTTCTGATGAATATATTTCTCCAGATTGAATTGGGCAGAGCATGTGGACAGACCTTGATCTAACCAAGGAAAATGGTGAGTCAAGGCGGAGCTGTCAATTTCCTGAGGACCCTTGGGCCTTTGGTTCATCTTACTCCCTTGTAGCCCTCCAAGAAATGTCAACAAAACGCTCAGAGGATTCGACACATCTTTATCTTCTCAGTATCATCAGCTGCAGAAAACTTGTGTATTTCAGGTATTTTTCACCCAGGTTTTTATCTTCAAACTCTAAGAACTGTCTTAATGAAAAGCTAGTCCGTTTTTCTTTGAGTCTTCAATTTTGTCTCTCTCAGAAGTGCTAAAAACCTCTTTTGAGTTCCCTCTCAAAGCAGGGATTCTCCTTGGTTTCTTGTCCATGGATAGAATTAGAAAATTTCCCAGGCAAAATATACCTTGTAGATCATTAGCTCTTCTTGGACTTGATGCAGACTGGACATTTTTTTAAAATGTAGCAGTATGACTAGGGAAGGAACAAAGAAACATTGTGGAAAGGAACTTCTTTCAAAAGAGATGATCATAAATGAAAAGCAGCCAGTGCTTTGCGTAAAGATAATGGAATAGAAACCCAGAGGGTATCTCAAAAAGGAAGAGAATGAGGGGAAGAGGAAGAAAAGGAAGATGAAATACTCAGACTGAGGCAGAGGATTATGAATTCAATGCCAGCCTGAACTACCTAGGAAGATCATGTCTCAAAACAAAACATGCAGTAATTCCCATTCAACATTTGCCAGCGGGATTTTAGAATTGCTTTATATTTCCTATTTTTAACTAAGATTATTTCTGTAATCTCAGGTACTAAGAAGGTAGTGACCGAAGGATCTCAGTTTAAGGCTAGCCTAGGGAAAAGTCAGTGAGACCATGTCTCAAAATCAAGTTAGATAAGGTGGTGTGTGCCAGCTACTTGGGAGGCAAAGATTAGGAGGATTGCAGTTGGAGGCCAGCTGGGGAAAAATTAAGAGTGCTATCCCATCCTACCCTACCCTAGATCAAATGAAAAGTCAAGGACTAGATATGGGGCTCAAGGGGCTAAGCTCTTGCCTAGTAAGGTTGAGGCCCTGAGTTCAATCCCTCATACACAAAAAAGGGAAGGTGTTTCTTGCAATTACCCTGTCCCTGCCACAATTTAATATGTAAGCTTTCTTTGCTGAACAAAGGGCAATTACTCCATTACAGTGAGGAGCCTATTACGTAATGTAGATAAGAAACTATTACCTCATGTAGATAAAGAAAAATCTAAAATTTGAGTCTAAGTGATGTTGTGAAATACTGAATGGAGGTGGAAATGGGTTGTATAGAGGAAGAACGTAAGTAACTAAGTAACTATGGCCTAGAGGGCAGACTTGTAGTATATTGCATTAATGTCTACAGTCTTTCATCTCTACCATGTTCCTGAGCAACTGGAACCTGGCTTCTTACTGGGATTTTTGAAAGCCATTCTATTTTCATCTATTCCTTCCTGTGCGTTGTGTATACTCCCACGAGGGCTGTCCTCACAAAAATTGAAATACTATGCTTTTTAGGAAAGGGCCCTAATCTTTCCATATGGCATCATGGTCCCCTTCCTTGCTGTCATATTTCTTTTCCACATACTCTGTACCTGGTAGGCCTGTCACAGGCTCTGAGTCTTTTCATGGCTCTGGGCTATCACCTCACTGTTTCCTATCAAACTCCATAAAACATCCACAGTATTTCTTACATATCACTTTTTCCAACATATTTCTTCCTTGATCTAAAGGAATTAGAGTCTCTTCTTTGTACCCCTAAACTCATTTCCTACCAGGACTATACTTGTTATAGGATAAGGATGATTTGTGTCCAGGTTTATATCTACAATGTCAAGGGTGATGCTTTGACCTCCACAGAAGTTTAATGTCTCCTACATGTATCTAATTTGATCAGTTGTTCAGTAATGTTGAATACATGTAGGAGTTGTAGATGTGTGTGCTATCTATGATATTCACAACAAACTTGATTAGCCATAGTTCTTCCTTCTTCACACACATCAAATAACAGATTTTATAATGTTAAGATAGATTTATGAGCATAGAAAAAGGACAATAATGGTTGGAGATAGTTGACATGTCCTTGATGTAGATATTGTGGGGTCTATTCAAGTTAAATCTGACAGCCAGACAACCAGCTCACTTAAGATATGAAAAATCAATTATGCTTCATTTTATATTCAAATCTAACTTTTCAAAACTTATTTGAAGAACATCTTATGTCAAAAGACACCTCCTTTATTATTTGAATGCAAGAAAAATAAAACATTTTCTTTCTCATTTAAAAATGAGCATCACGCTGAAGTTTTATCTGCCAAATGAAACTGAAGAATGTCTGGATATTTAAATAATGCAATAGTTGTTGAATTCTCTTTCATTAACAAAATTATCGACTTAGAGGGAGAATGGAATTGGCTACATTCCATAGCAGGGAACAGCTGGAATAGGGTCCACAAAAGGAACTTGTGCAAAGACCACTGGGGAGGAAGGTGGAACGGGCCAGGGAGATCTTTGTGTGATATGGGTAGGGGCTTAGACTTAGCCTTATAGGCAGAGGAATCTTTGCCAGGCACAGTGGCACACACTGGTATCTAGCTTTTGGAAGCTGAAGTGGAGGATTTCAAATTCTAGGCCAGCCTAGAATGTGTTTATAATGTATGAAAAGAAAGGTTGACTATCGCTGCCCTCCCTGTCAGAGCATGCAGACCTGTATAGCTGGTTGCCATCTTCACCTTTGTTAGGCAGATACACCCGACAATTGTTTCAAGTTGCTTGTTCTCTGAATGTGGGTATGAGGTGATTCTGATGGGTCTGTAAGATACCCTAGATCTGGAAGGTTGGCTTTGTTTTCTCACAGGGTTACTGGTAGATAGTCTACCAAGGCAACATGTCCAGAAGACTCAAGCTGTGATTCAATAGAGCTCTTCCTTCTGAC